TTAAGTGCTGCCGGAAGCTCCTATACGGACATTTCAGAGTGTTTGGATGTCAATCTGAGAACAGTGCACAGGATTCGAAAAGAGTTGGATGATACTAATTGTGATTACGAAGGTATGGCAGCTATTGTGTTACATTGAGCTCTGAACCTTTTTATCATAGAAATGATTAAATATATCTTACTGGAATTCTCCGAGGCTTTTATAACACTATTGAACTCTACTTTGAGCAATAAGAATGTATAATTACTCTCCAAGCTTAACAGAAGGATCGTGATGAGATTGATCATAAACGAAAATAACATGTCCATCATTAATTAATCATAGCTAAGGACCGGAAGCACATGAAAGATTGAAATAAATTTCAGATACATAGATATATTATTCAAGAGTCATTTTCCAAATTATTGAAGATGATCTTCACCCTCTCTAACCTTCTAACTTTCTGTCCTCGAGCAGAAAATTGCCTCACACTTTGCACGTACAATTTCATTTTCAAGTCTTTTTTCATTGCTCTTTGGACTGTCATAGGGGAAATCCTCCTTTCACGTGCCAAACGTCTTGTGGATTGAGTTGCATCTTTTCTAATTGAAGACTTTTGCTTTAAGTTGAAATGATAATCCCTCGTCTTGTTGTGAACTCCTGATCCAGTTTTCCTCTCTACATTTCCTTCCTTTTTTAAACTTATTCACCGATCTCTTGATGGTTCTTCAATGGACTTTGAAAATGGAAGCCAGATTATGAATGTTGGTACCATTACTGAAGTCCTGAATGAGCTTTTTCCTCTCAACATTGGGAAGACAGTAGATCTGACACAAAACAACCTGCTTTCTTTTTAGCTGAATATCACAAAAGGTTTTTTTTAGAGATCCTAACGAAAAATGTTCCAAAGATGATTAATGTCTAACCTGAAACCTGGCAAAAATGAAAGTCAAATAGTTTATTGTTTTTTAGATTTTAAACATTTTTGAGATAGATAATTATGCTGTTACAAGATTTGGACAATTTTTCTGTTACACCCGATATATATATATATACACATTATGAAATGGACAAAGTCCGACAATTAATTTTAAGGCAATTTTTATGTTTATACGTTTTTTATAGATACAAATATTTAAGTCAATGCTCTTTTTTGTTGTACAAAATTTAAGGATAGATAGAAAGAAGAATAATTTATATAGCATTTTAATGTATATTTCAAAACAAAAAAAAAAAAAAACCGGTTTCGTCCCAGGCTTATCAAATTTATTCCTGGAATATAAAAATATAAGCGTGTAAATTTAATTGATATTAATGATAACCAATGGAAAAAAAAATATATATATATATATATATATATATATATATATATATATATATATATATATATATATATATATATGTGTGTGTGTGTAGCGAAATATCCAAAGAAATTTTGTTGGTTAGGGTTATAAAAATACGAAGTTGTGAAGAGTTGCGATTGCCCATATACCTAAGGACCTCACCACAAAAAATAATAAGCATAAAAACTTGAGCTACCATATAAGTGAATTAGGGTACTATTTCTTACGTAAAACTTAACCAACTTCAGAACTTGTTACAATCCTATAGTTTCTCATTAAAACGCCGTGTCTTTCCGAGTAAACATCGACCATTTATACTAGAAAGAAATAAACGAATGCCGTCGGAAATGTTTCCGTTTCGTTTCTCGGTCTGCTTCTTTTATAGTTAACGGGAGAAAGTGTAGCGAGATTGTAAAAGACAATAACGTTTATTGTAGAAATGACTTCATTGATCCGTAAGTTAAATATCCAAAATAATTATTGATTGGAAATCAATGGCTTTCTGATTTTATGGAAATAATTTTTGTCAGGAGCAAAACTGATTTCTATTTTCGACATGTCTTTGAAATAATCCGAAACGCTTCTCTTTCGTTTCTCTTTATTTATTTAGGCTCAACAGATGTTTTACAGTCACCGCAGGATTATTTAAGCTGTATACATGAGTTTACACTAACTACCTATATATATATATATATATATATATATATATATATATATATATATATATATATATATATATATATATATATATATATATATATATCTGTGTGTGTATATATATGCATGTTTCATTAAAAATGACAGACAAGTTATTACGGTTAAGCTTTTTATTTAATTTTTCTGGTGTCCGATCGTTTTCTTTTTGGAACACAATGCGTAGAAATTGTCGAAATGTTCTATAATTCCGAACGCTTTCGTCTATAATTTTAGCAATTATCAAAGATGATTATATTTTTTCAGTTTTTTTGAGTGTATGCATTTAGTGTTATAGAGATGTTTTATTTTCCGAACAGGGTTAGAACATTGTGGCCTAGTTCTTAGTTAATATTGTTAAAAGTTGGCTTTTTCTTTTTATTATGGCTTCCATTATTTCTAATCTGTTTTTACGTGTAGATTAGGTTATTATGTTTGTATTTTCTACTAGTATGTTCGGATGGAGTCTGGTTAGTTTGTGTGTGTTTGTTTAAAAGGGTTCTAATAGAGATGTGGTCAGATAGGTGTAAGGCGTATGTATAGGCATGTAGTCATGTGACCGATGTAATTATTTATGAATTCGGTTTGATCAAGAACACAGTTCCTTAAGGGGCATTTGAACTTATAGATAATGTTCGTTCGTTGTAACTTTTCAGGTGTGTTGTTACTTTTGAGGATAAGGTTAGCTGTTTTAAATTTTGTAGTAGATAATTTGATTTTTTATTCGGGTCGATTGTGGCAGTGTATTTCTTTATAATGTTTCTAAGCGAATATTCGATTTCTTTCTAGTTAATATGCATTTGTTTTTTGTAGAAAATATTTATGTAATTTTTTACTGTATGTTCAGTATCGTTGTTATTTAATTTGGACAGAAATAGTCTAATTTGGTGTTCTATAAGGTGGTTAGGGAAGCCAATGTTAATTAGTGTCTGTTTTACATTATTGAGTTCTTTAAGGAAGAGTAGTCGAGAGGATGAATTGTGGTGTGCTCTTTTTAGGAAGTTTTTTTATTACTGCTATTTTGTATCTGAGTGGGCATTCACTTTTAAAGTTAAGGTGGCAAGAGTTTCTGCTAGTGGATGTTTTATATAATGAGATTATAAATTTGTTATTACTATATTCTACGAGAACATCTAAGAATAGGATCTAAGTTTTTTTTGACTAAGTTCGTAGGTAAAGTTAAGGACAGAATCTTTTTTTAAATGTGGTCTTAAGAGTATCTATTACTTTAGTGTTATTTGCTAAAATATCGTCTACGCAGCGGACATATATGTTAGGTTTACTTACCTGTTTAAATATCATATTTTCTACATGGGACATGTAATAATTGAAAAATCATGGGCCGAGTGTATTTCCCATACTGACACCATTAGTTTGGGTGTAAATGGTCATAGAATGGGACTTTTGCGTGTAGTAATTTTTTTGAGTATGAATGGTTTTATGGATGGCGAAGGGATAGAATTATTAATATACATAGAATAGAATTGAGGATAATGTCAATGGTTTGATAGGCGGGGACGTTTTCTACATCAAATGACGCTATGATACTTTGGTTTGGTTTAGTAGTTTTTTAAAATTTGGAGGAATTCTTGGGTAGATGTGATACTGTAATTGGTGGGTAGGTATTGAGTGATGATGTAGTTCAGGAATTTTGAGAGGTCGTCGATGGGTGTTGGGATCCGGGAAATGATTGGTCGTAGCGGGTATCCTGGTTTATCGGTTTTTATATTTCCATATAAATATCCAGGTTGGTAGTCTCCAATGATTTTTTGGATTATCATCGAACCGAATTCCGCGTTGGAGGCTGTTATTAGTTTGTTGGACCTTTTTAGGATTTCTGTGGATTTTCTATTCAGTTTGGTGAATTTTGTTCGGTTTTCGATAATGTTTTGTAATTTTTTGTGATAATCGACTTTATCCAAAATGTCGTATGTATTAGCTTTGTCAGCTCGTCTGATGACAATGTTACGGTTGCTTTTTAGTTCTTTTGAAGTATTTTTTTTCTGAATTCAAAACCTGCGGAGGGTCGTTTGGGAACCTTGTGGCATGCATTCGGTGCACCAGGTTTCTGTATTCGTCCCTCCAAAAAGTGTGGCTGGTCCTGCACAAGGCCTTCACCACTATAAACAAATCTCATGTGCCGGTGTCGGGATGTCGGTTTCCTGGGGACTTATCGGCCTGACCCTCATACGTCGAACGCGACGGGAGAGTCGATTATATATATATATATATATATATATATATATATATATATAATACAAATATAGTTATAAGGTATGCTATATTTATGGGTTAAATTGTTCAGTATGAGGGATAGAGCTGTAGCGCTTTGTATAGAACACTCCACTCATCGGTCAAATAAATCAGGTAAGTTAATGCCCCTTGCCAACGTAGGGCGAAATGACATGGATTAAGGCCTTTGCCACAGATACCAGTCCGTTCGAGAGAAGAGGTTAGAGCAACAGCTGCTGTAAACAACATCCAGACTCACACCATGAAGAACAAAGATATTTACAGATGGTAACTGACTATTTCACTCCACTAAGTTAACTACGTTGTAGAGTACAAACCTCATTGAGTGTAAGTATCATGTTTATGTCATGTATCGTTTTATTTACAATATTGGATAAAATAAAAATAGTAAAGGTGTTTATGGCAGCCTTCTATTCATTTCCCTTTTTAATAACTCATATTTATTCTTGCTTACGTGCTAGTTGAGGTAGAGAGTGGTTACAAAATAACAACCCAACATATGTAAATATAAAAGTGTATATTCAGGTCAACAACTAGCGTCGACAATGTGTTTCATGCTTAAACACAAACTTCAGGCCAACCTGAACATTGCGTTTAAGGATAAAACAATTAAGCAGACAGGCCTCGTCGAATAAATTTAATAAACGCATATATATATATATATATATATATATATATATATATATATATATATATATATATGAAGAAATATAGTTTTAAGGTGTGCTATATTTATGGGATAAAGTGCTCAATATCAGAGAGAGAGAGATAGATAGATAGATAGATAGATAGATAGAGAGAGAGAGAGAGAGAGAGAGAGAGAGAGGAGCGTATGTAAATATAAATATAGAAGTGAACATTGAAGTCAACACTCAGAGGCGACAGGCTGTTTCATGCTAGGCGTAATCTTTCAGGCCGCCTGACGATCGCGCCTAACATGAAACAGCCTGTCGCCTCTGATATATATATATATATATATATATATATATATATATATATATATATATATATATATATATATGTGTGTGTGTACTAAGTCCGACAATTATTTTTTAATATATTTTATTGTTATACGTTATTTATATAGATACAAATATTTAAGTAAATGCTCTGTTTACAATAAAAAGTATTAATATATGACGTCATTTGTTTACGTTAAGATAAGGTTCGAGAAGATATAAACGTTTGAGGGAAACCATAGAAAATTTGTAGATTAAATGCAGTAATTCGACCTCGCTAAACAGACGCTCCCATTGCTAGCTAAACTGGTATATCACGTCAGCCTATATGACGGTTCCGTGTAGGGTACAGGTTCGATTCCTGTCGGAGTACGCATATTTTCTATGCAATTTCTCGGACATTCAGGCAGGTAAATGTTGTTAATACTCTTTATTATAAAGAGAGCATTTATTTAAACATTTGTGTATATATAAATAACGTATAAATATATATATATTTTCGACTACCAGGTCGTTTTCCATGTATTAGGGTGCCGTAACTCAATTATTAGAAACAAACTGTTAGTACTATTCCCCAATATAATTAGATTATTGTGGTAAAGACTTGGGTAAAACCAACGACACATATTGTATTTTTTGAAAGAAAAACAAACTTTAGGTAACTATAGTGTATTTGCTTTTCTTTCTCAGTCTTATTCGAGGCTTCCCTTACTGCCAAAAATTTCAAATTTGAATTCATCTGTCCACAATGCAAATTGCTAAATAATGCATATTTTGTATGAGAAATATATTTTGTTTATACTATAAACATTTTATGATTATCCAGATTTTCAAACAAATTAATACAGGTTATAACGATTGACACGAAAGAGACCAATTTTGTAAACAATGCATATGTAACTGTTGCTGTTTGAAGAAAACATTGTGATATTACGACTGTATTTTCAGAGCTTCTCATACTTTTTAAAAAATTTATTTTTTAATCTTGAAGTAATTTCCGGAAAATTCCAAAATCAAATCAATTAAGCGCTGACGTGAAGGCACAAATTGAAATTTTATACAAAACGGCTACACACAAAGAAAAATTACCAAGAAGTTTAATAAACATGGAGTGCAATTGTTACAAAGGTAGCTGAAGCAAATGTTGACGAGTAACACCAACTTAGTACTAGAGAACTATTATTTAAGTATACTTACGTATATTTCTATCGTTTCTTGATTTGATGAAGAATAGAATGGCGAAACATAATCAAATCTAGTTTCAATGAAACGGTTTTCCATTTGTTATATATATATATATACATACATATATATATATATATATATATATATATATATATATATATATATAAATGAACATTGAAGTCAACACTCAGGGGCGACAGGTTGTTTCATGCTAGACTCACTCGTTAGGCCTGACGACTGCGTCTAGCATGAAACAGTGTTGACTTCAATGTTCACTTTTATACACACACACACACACACACACACACACACACACATATATATATATATATATATATATATATATATATATTACAGTTAAGATGTTTGAGGAAAGCCCTGTATTTTTTTTTTAAATTGGTCCAGAAGATAGTTATTTTGTACTTTAAATAAGAGAAAATTATTATCCATGGTCAAAAATATGGGACATGACTTTTGTTCGAAATATTATTATAACAAAAAGAAGAAAAAGCATGTCATGATTACATTTTGCTCTCGTCAAAATATCCTCCTTTTGTCTTGATTACTGCAACACAAGTTTGATAAATGTTTCCATTCTTTTTTGAATGATTCAAAGAGCTCTTTTATATTTTTTCACTCTTCTCTCAAATTCATTTCATGCTAATTCAGAGGCTCGCTTCCAACTTCTGTACTGTAGTATATATATATATATATATATATATATATATATATATATATATATATATATATATATATATATATATATATATATGCCAAGATCTTCATGAAAATATGAACGTTTTCACAGGCGAATCTCGGTAGAAACTGGATGGAAATGATGGATGTTCCAAAGAATGGATTTTATTCGATGCAGATGTTCCTGTGGCTAAGAGAAAGCAGCAAGGAAATGACAGTGTGATAATATGAGCTGAAATTATCGACTAAACATTAATGAACTATTCAAAGTCGATGAAAGGATTAAACTGAACAGTGATATTGCAATTTCAAGGAAAAATACGTTCTCTGAATGTTACAAGTCACAAGACAAAGTGAAGTGAGTATTTATGAACGACAATGATCCTTCTAATTTATCTAAGGTTACCTGTATTTTTTTTTAGTGTAAAAGGTTTACAAGAAAGACGATAATGGAATAACCACCATCAAGTCCAGACCTAAATCCGATCGAAAATCTATGGTCAATTTTGAAGATGAAATTATAGGCATGGTGGCAGGCAACATTACAGGAAAGCAGACTTATGGGAAGCAATTTCAACCACTGTGTCGGAAAGAATTAACAAAATCAGTGGATAATAGATCACAGGCTGGTATTGAGAAGAAGAGCATAAGCTGGGTCCAGCAAGATATACAAGTAATTAATTTTGGGGATTTAGGCTTATAGCAATAAGTCTAGAAAAATCCCCAACAGAATGCAGAAAGCACTGGACGGCCGTTTTGTCCTATCTGGGACTCATCAGCAGTGCGCATCCATTACCGAGAATCGAAACCGTACCGTTTCGATACAACGCAAACGTCATACCAACTGTATGCGGAACTGAGTGAGTTGCACGCTATATCGAGTCTAGTTTGTCCCGTGGAATCCCTCTCAATGCCCAACTTGAAAGCTCACCTAGATCATGGACACACGGTCGGGAAAAACTACTACCCTAGCCGTTGATTTCACTCTAGGAATCCCTCTGGGCAGCTGTATACATAGCTCTCGTGACCTGTCTACCCTATGGTGATAGATGGCTGGTGACCCCTACAAGAATTAAACTTATTTATTATATATATATATATATATATATATATATATATATATATATATATATATATATATGTCGATTTTATTTTATTTTATTTGCAGCTATACAATTATTTTGCGTTAATTATTGAAAGTAATTTACATTGATTTTCTTTTCATATATTTATATGTTTATATATAAGCAGGTGTATGTATATGCATGTATTTGTTTATGTATATGTGTGCATGGATCTGTGTTTGTATGTGTTGGATTCTATAAATATGAAGATGAATTAGGTATTGAATTTAAGATGTTTTTTTAAGTATATTATTTTCACTCCCCTATATATATATATATATATATATGTGTGTGTGTGTGTGTGTGCCTGTCTCTGTCTCTCTCTCTCTATATATATATATATATATATATATATGTTTTGTTGTATTATATATTCATTATATATTCATTCATTTTATTTCATTTCAATTATTTTCTATCTGTTAATTAATTTTCTCTTCTTCCCTTTATATATATATATATATATATATATATATATATATATATGTGTGTGTGTGTGTGTGTGTGTGTGCGTGTGTGTGTGTATTTATATATGCGTATATCAGTGAGCACAAAGTTAAAGGTCTGTCGAGCATGTGTGCTTACAGCACTTCTTTATGCTTGCGAAACGTGGGTGGTTTACCGTAGGTGGTTTACCGCAGATAAATGAAAAGGCTTGAGAGATTCCACCAGTGCTGCTTACGTCGTATCCTTGGCATTACCTGGCAAATGGTTGTTAATGATGTAGGCGTGAAAAGAACGACTGTGATAGTGTTGAGTCCTTGATACTAAAACATCAAATTCGGTGGGCAGGCCACCACGTCAGAATGGATGACAGCCGTATTCCAAAGCAGTCGTTTTATGGTGAGCTGCGAACAGCGATGAGAAATGCTGTCAAACCTAAGATGCGCTTTAAGGACTTCACCAAGGATACGCTGAATAAATGCAATATTCTTTCTGAACACTGGGAAGAATGCATTTGATCGCAATAATTGGAATGAGGCTATTCGAAGTAGGAGGTGTCATTTTGAGAAGGAGAAGCGGAGGCGTGCAAGGTTCAAATGAGATGAGCAATAAGAGCGTCCCCGTTGAACTTCCTGAAGTCACCCACAGGTAGCTCGATTTAACATGTACAAATTGTGGTAGAGTGTTTTTGTCGATGGCTGGTCTAAGGAGTCACTTGAGAGCACATCGACTGAGCATGGCAACTGACTATAAAGCCGGAGACGTCCAGCAACTGATGTGTGATATTTGCAGTAAGACATGCGGGCCCAGAAGCGACATTTTAAATTGCATGATAATTTAACACCCGCTGTTGTAGCTCTTAAGTGTCCTGTTTGTGCTAAAATATGTAGGTCCGTTACTGGGCTAAAGAGCCACATTCGTTCAGCAGATCTGGACATATTCTCCAAAAAAAAATGTAGTAATCGCCGTACACGGACACGAATTGGCAACCACTATATGTATGTGTATGTGTGCGTGTATGTATATACCACCACATATGAAAATCAGATTGAATGCTAACAACCCCTCCTCCCCGACATATGTCTTCAATATTATAAATCCCCAGAAAATAGGTTTTTAGGTCAAGCGTCTAGAATTCCTGTTATCTTGTTTTTATTAAAATATTCTGGATAAATTTAAATTTAAACCATTTGTAATTTCGGTTTGATGAGATGGGTGTTAAAAACTTAACCATTAAAATAAATTATAATTTATAAACATATTTTCGATGATGTGATAAGTTTTTCCTTGATGTATATCATATTGCTTTTTATACTAAACACTGAGATCTCTTTATGGACCCATGTTTTTAATATTTTATATTAAAAACGACCTACTTAGATTATCCTTTTCATTTACGGATTTTATATTATTATCTGCATATATATATGAACACAAGATGGAATATGTAAAAAAAACAGGAG